AGATAAAAAAAAAAACATAGTAATTGACAAAGCCTTTTCACTGTGATGTCATGGCAACAGATGTCCAAGCATTGGGTGTTTCACATCCGAGAACCAAGAAATAGTTCTCATAATCCCCAATTCCTATTTAGTCAGAGGAACCACCCAGTTCCCTTGGCCAGGTTCACATTATGTGATTAGATCAGAAAGTAAAAGGCCATTGACAAATTTTAAAGAAGAGGTATTTTGCTAAATTGACTCTTTTGAGCTTTTACATGCATATTATCCACCAGCGTTTATCCATCAGAGTGGACCATTTGATTTCGTGAAACCTCTCTCCAAATGTCTAAAAACTATCTAACTCTGTAGCATCCAGGTAGGAGTTGCTGCTTTTTTGCCACCCAGTCATGTGACCGGCAGCTGAAAAGTATAAACAACAACATACTCAAAGATCCTCTCACTATATCTGTTCCACCAATGGGCATATGTTTGTTGCCTGTTTATAGTCCCAGTTTCTATTAATTTAATTTGCTCAATGGGAGGGGCAAGGGGAGTATAAAGAGGAGCCGTGTTTGGCACGGTGTTTTTAAGTAACCCACAACAGTAACTAACCCTTACTTTAAAGAAATAATTTTCCAAGAATCATGAATATTCTCAAGATCCTGTTTTAAAGGGCCAATTTTTTAACACATTGCATAATATTTGATCTTTAACATGGAAACTGTACTGAGCAATGAACAATGAGGACACACCAACATTGCTGACCTGACCTCACATGTTGTGCATCTGTGCAATAATTTGGACTAATGTCAGAATGTGCGATATAAAACCACATGAGTCCTCTCTCACTTTACTTTGTCACTTACACCCTCATGCTGCTAACATGTACAGATATATATATATATATATATATATATATATATATATATATTAGTGTGTGTATGAAAGAACTCTTCTTGCAATAGAATATACAGAATTGTATACTTGCATCTTCGTTATGCTAAAGTGAGAGATTTTAAACTTAATTCTTGCTTCCTTATTATTCTAAAGTTGTACATTTTAGACTTTCTTCTTTATTACGCTTAAAAGGTATATAGGAAAACTTTCTCCTTCGTAGTGGATCATCAAGACTATTGGTCCTCCCAATTGTCAATCATTCTTGTGATACCCGCTCATCAAACAAGACCTGAAAGTTCAAAAAGTGTTCAGGCCGGTTCTTTCCTAAAACTGATTTTATTCTATTTTCGTTCTCATTTCTACTGTTCTGTAACTGCTGATGTAAATAAAGGATCTCTGTATCATAATCTTATACATATACCAACCTGCCACTAGATGTCACAAAAGACTATACTAGACATTTAAGAGGATAACAATAGGCACACAGCAGCCAATCACAGGCGAGCAGCTCTCTTACTGGTCCTCCAAAATAGCCCTTGTATTGACACGATGCTCTGCTAACATGTTCATTAGTGGGAGTAGCGTGACACATGCTTTATTAACTGTAGTGAGTGTCCCGGGGCTGAAGGCTCTTCCTCAGTCTGTGACCTTTGCTAACTCCTCGTCTGACAGTCTCGATGAACTCCACTCCTCACGATGCGACTGGACTGGACAAGCGCGCCGCCCAAAATGACAGTGCGCAAACCTGCAGGCTGTGACAGAAACCCAGAGCGCATTCCAAGAGTTGACGCCACAAAGAGCATTTAGGAAATATTCAAAGGCTCCAACTCATGCTATATAGTTAAATATTTCAACATTTTTGGACATTGGTCATCTGCCTCTCATGGACCAATGGCTCTCTGTCTTTTCTATCATTGCATTTCTTGTGTTTGAACTGTTTGATTCCCTCATCTGTGTTTTGTATAGCCCTCTGAGATATCTACTGTTGGGATTCAGGGCTATACAAGAGTAAACTGGATTGGATTGAAGTGAATAGTGTTCTAACAGGTTCATTGTGAGATCTAAAAAAAACATTGTAATTGTCAGATCCTTTCTCACTGTGACGTCATGGCAACAGATGTCAAAGCATAGGTGTTTCGCACATCTGAGCCCCAAAAAATAGTCCTTATTATCTCCAGTTCCTAATTAGTCAGAGGAAACATCCAGTTCCCAGTTGCGTTCACATTGGCTAGAACTGGATTTAATATGAGCTGAGGGGAACACTGTGTGATTAGGTTGGAGAGTAAAAAGACATTGATGAATCTGAAGACATCATTTGCCTTCTGAGCTTTTAAAAATGTTACAAAATGTTTTCCTCATCAAAAAACAGATCCATCAAATATCAGGAACTTCTGCCACAAAAATAACTCTTCCCCTTCTGTCTAAAAGCTCTGCTCTGTAAAAAAAGAAAGTCTTAGCTCCATCATATGCAGAGCAGTTCTATGCATTTTCAATTTAAAGTTTCTATATGTTCGCAAGAGGTATTTCTCCAGTTTGGAAAAAAAAACAAAGTATCTCCTTCCTCTGGTAGTTTCATAGAGGGGGATTTCTACAGAAGATTTTTTTTTCTAATCCTTAAACATGAAATGACAAAGTAAAGAGTGTCATCATTTTAATGACTGTATAATTACAATTCTGAATGCATTTAAGGCACTTCCAAAAGTTCCTGTTATGTGTGAAAGAACCCAGAATACTGTAAATACTCAAAAAGCGCTGAAAAGGGTCAGTTAATTTTGGCTGATATTCGGTGATGCACAAACAAAGGCAACAAAGATGGATGCACGTTTTTTTTTGCTGAAATGTTTCTATTTTCAATAATGATTGGAGAAAAGTGCCTTGCTCATTCTCCAGATTGATCATCCCTCCATTTTTACACAAATACTTTCTGATGGATGTGTAGCATATGTGAAGTATAAATTCACAAACATTTTCACAGCGACATAGATAGGTGACGGCCATTGTGTTTCCTACTAGTTCGCACATCATTACAATTCTCATACTTGTATAGCTTACATTCATTCAGAAGGTATGGAACCTCCCCAGTGGCACTCAGACTCCTTCCTCTCCAGTGTGACAGGAGCCCATGCAGCAAAATGACAACATCCCTCCGGGGGGCGCTGGTGACAGACCGACAACAGCGTCACGTCCCAGAGCCCGATCCGCGCTGAAGTGTGTTTGTGCGATCAGAGAGCCGACACCACAGAGCTGTCAGGACGATAACCTTCTCCCCCATCACCCCCCCTGCACAGCCACCCACTCGCCAAGGACTGTAGCACCTGCATGTCCAGCCCCAGGCCCCCGCGCTTGGACACACCTGCACTTCAGCGGGGGCAGGGCGGATGGGGGGAGGGGAGGCTATAATACAGGCCTATTTGTCCCCAGTAGGTTAGTCTGGGGACAAATAGGCCTTTATTTCTGAGAGTGTACTGTAACGCCTGCTGACTGGTCTCTCCAAACAAGCTGAAAATCAAGTGCTGTATATTCAAAACGCTGCGGCTTGACTCCTGACTAAAACCAGGAAATATGATTGCAGTCCAGTTTTCAGGTCTCTGCACTGGCTTCCTGTTGACTTTAAAGGGCCCATATTACGCTTTTTTGACTTTTCTTTGCTTTAAACATGATTACAGTGCTATTTGGCCTTCATACACATGCCCAGTGTAGTTTTTTCATTGATTCTGTCAATCTTTAGTAAGAGAGCGTTCGGTCTCCTTCAGCCTCGAAAGGCACACAAACGTTATCTGTGACGATAACCTCTCTGATGACCAATATGACGCGCATAAGCCCTTTTGCTTTGTATTTAAAATGGTTTTTAAATACTTTTGTCAAAACGAGGTAAATAATACACAATAAGTATGCTGTTTGTTGTAAAAAATAATAAAGATAACAAAAATAGTAAAAGCCGGCGGGAGTTGATTGACAGTTCGAAACAGCAAATCAGAGCACGCAGCCAGTCTAATGTAGGTCTGTGGTTTGGTCCCGCGGACACCACATAGAGATGCTGTTTTTCTGTTTTTGTCAACAACTAAAAGTGTTTGGATCACGTCAACTTGGATAAAATGTGTTTTGGGTGAAAATATGTGACGCACTATTTGCCGCGAAGAGGAAGAAAGCGGCTCGACTTTTTTCATCTCATGGATCTATTATAATAACGGCTTCATCTGCAACACTTCACTGAGACTGTTCCAGAACTACAGGGACAATGGAACTGGACTTACTCAAAAACTGATCTGGAAACATGTTATTCCCATGACAAAAGCCGTAACACGGACCCCCCCTTACACATCGTAAGTACAGTGATGCTAACTCGCCGTATACTTCTGTAAACTAAATAATTAGGGTCTGATTGTGCATCGAGGGCATAGGGCTCGATGTTACAGATTGTCATTGTTGGAAAAAGTTTATTCTCATGTCTGAAATTACTATGTGTCGGTGAAAAACCACTCAGAGCGTGATGCTACGTCACCGTGCGGATCGGGGGAGGCGGGCTCACAGAGGCAGAGGAGCAGACTTCTCTCTGAATCAGCTCGTTTGAGTCAAAGTGACGTCACCGCTATACAAGAGATGGCTATAATCTCACAAGTTTTGTGTGTTGTATGGTGTATCACTCAAATTATTATCACTCGTGTATAGGATTGACTGTGAAACATGAAGAAAAGTGTAATATAAGGCCTTTAAATCAACGCTGCGTGCGCACAAGTCACTCCATGGCCTCGCACCTATAAGTACATCTGTCAATTTTATTGCAGTATGAACCAACTCTGACCAAAGGTGCAGGGGTTCAGTTGTCTATCAGTGATTTGAACTTGTCTTGTCCAATCAGGAAGTTGTAGGAGTGGGTCTGGTGTCTCTCATCTTAAACATTTGAAAAAAGTTACTGACCTTCACATTCGCACTTTAATTAAGGCCAACAAAAGTGCATCCATAACATATATTCCCCCCTGCTTCATTAGCCTGACTCACATCCGTTCCCCTAGTGCAGAGATTTTCCATGTTTAGCTGTTTGTTTTCCAGCACAAAGCCTGTTTTCGGCTTCTGCTTCGCTCGCATCAACTCCACTAAAGTCAGCTGTCAGAAACAAAGCCCTTATGTGGCCAAATGTCCACGCCTCGCTCGTGCCTTCCCAGTGTGAACGAGGGTTAGACGCTGTTCCACTTGTCAGCGGCGGTAACAAGATGCCGCTCGACTTGGCACCTCTGGAAATGTCAGGCCGAGAGCGGGGCCCGGGCCTGGCTCAGCTGCTGCCTTTCCAAACGCCACACGCCACGCCTCCCAGCCACGCCGTAGTGAAGCAGACAGGCCGCGTGTGCCCAGCTCCCCAGCAGTGGTGCGAGCGTGTTATCTGCAGACACGGAGCTGCACTCTCAGGTCCCTACTGCAGACAACTGGGTGAATGAGAAATATATGATGATTATTATTATTAGAGGTCAGGAACCTATGGCTCGAGAACCACATGTGGCTTTTTTAATGGTTGTGTCTGGCACTCGACAAATCTTAGTTGGCATTAATAAGAATGTTATATCAAATCAATCAATCAAATTTTATTTATAAAGCGCTTTTCATACAAAAGATGCAACACAAAGTGCTTTACAGTTTGGTTAAAAACAATCCCGCCGACCCAAGACCCCTCCCCCAGACCACCCAACAGACCCACCCCAAACCACACACACACACACACACACACACACACACACACACACACACACACACACACACACACACACACACACACGTTTTTGTTACCTGGTGGGTCCCTTTGACAGGGCCGTTCAGAATGGGACCCATAGACATAATCTTTTTTTACCAAGACTTTAAGTAATACAAAACAGTCAATAGAAACCAAACAACTATTTTAAAGGAATTTTATTTTAGATTTTGTTTTCGAATTGCAGTGATTCTATTTTTGACATAGAATTTAATGCCACTCCATGTCCGATGTCTAAGGTCATCTGGTGAGGCATTAATGCAGGCCAGGCAGTGAGACTTCCCAGGGACCTTTCCAGTCTGTATGAAAGGTGTCATGGTCTTCTCCACAGCCTTCACCTCAGATGCAGACCATGGCTTTCTTACACGTTCTAGGGAGAGAAATAAAAATATATTAGCAATATACACTCCCAGGGTGAGGACCAAGCAGCCTGGCTGTAATCCCCCACCTGGTACACTTACCAGAAGGGGCACTGCCACTACCATGGGGTGCATCTGGATGAATGGTTGAAGGTTCTCCGCTTGAAGTTTCTTTTAGCCCGTCCGTTTGTGAGAGGATCTCTACTGCTCTCCCTGTCGCACAGAAAATAAAAATACAAGTGGCCTTTAGGGGAAAAAAATCATACATATTTTAATAATATCAAGAATTACCTTCAGGCTCAATTTGTATCTGGTCGAGGCTCTTTCCTTCGAATTCCGTCACTCTTCCCTGCTCCATGGCCATCAACACTTTGCTGATTTTGGCCAGCTCCAGTGTCCCCTCTGGTAGTCTGTAATATTGCCTGTGGATGCGAATGTCATGGCCGAGGAAGTTGGCAAGTATGTCCATCTCATTCTCTTTCATATTGAGAACTGTAGACATAGTAGCTATGTGCTTTCTAAGTTTGGTTGAGGATAGCATCTCTGGATGCACCGCACCACATTCTTTGGCTACCTGGCGTAGGGAGTCTGATCCCCTGATGTGGGTGTCTGCGCCCGGGCGGGAAAAGAAGTATGGGTTATGGTCAGAGATGGAACAGGCCCTTCTGTTCTCCACCAGCACCTCCATCGAAGCAATCATTTCAGGAGTCAAAAGAACCGGCACTTTCCGACTTCTTTTCCCTTTAATTTCAATGCGTTGAAAATGCTGACACAGCTTTTTCTCAAGTTGGGACAGTCCCAGAGCAATGTCAGAATGGATCCCAGTCTTACTTCTTAAGGTAAAGGCTGTCAGTGGCATCTTTGAAACCTCACCTTCCCTTCTTCGATTGAAAATGATGACCTCACAAAGAGTCAAAACTGCCAGTTTAGACCAATGCTTAGACGTTGGCTCACTTATTAGGGTTTGCACATATTCAGGTCGACATACCTCAATATGTGCATGCATGGCTCTAACGTCCTCAGTCAGAGGGAGCAGGTCCGGAGTGTTCCACTTGGCTTGCCGGAGGGTCTGTAGGGCAGCAGAAGAAACACAGACGTCCCACCTCTTCTCAAAAAGCAGCCGGCTTCGTTGGAGGTTTTTAATAAATAGTTCATCAACACAATGCTCCATTTTTGAGTCACATTCAAGAATATCTGCTAGCTTTCTGAGGCTATGGCCGAGTTTGAGGGCCAAGGATGGAGTCTTGTATTGATTTGTTTCCTCATCATATCCAGCCACAGACCTGACTGCATCAATCACATGGTTAAAGTTGGAAGGAATAAAGAAATCCTTAATTGTTTTCAGTTTCCCTGCGGTTTTTGCTTCGTTAATTAACCTACCGACTTCTCTCATTTTCGGCCTAATGTAATCATGCTTTGTCTTATCATGCCCGTGTTTTAAGTACAGGTGCTCTCCGAGTCGCAGAATCCCCTTTTCTGCTTTGACAACACCCGTGACCTCATCCTGATGCATTGCCGAAATTAAAGACCACAGCTTTTTGCTGATGCCCTCCGGTACAGGCTGGGCTAGGGAGCAGAGGGACTGGACCCTACTTCTACCTGGTTTAGCCTGGGCATCTTTCTGTGAAAGCCGGCACCTGGCCACATGCCTCCACAGCGACTTTCGCTTAAGCAATGCCCCACAGTCTATACAGTGCAAAAACTCACTGGATTTAACTGGGGAATTTGGCTGTTTAGCTGGGACTAAAGTTCCAATGCCGGCCTTTAAAACCTCAAAATTGTGCTCACGGTTTCCACTATTCCTGATCAAATCAAACTGAAGTTTACGTGCTTTAGATTTCACAGGTAGAGCCAATGCTCTGGCTACGTCAATTTCATTTCCATGTTTTCTAGTCAAATGACGGGACATTTTGTGGCAGGACATTGAACAGTAGAGGCAGAAGTGTCTCTTGCTGTATACTCGCCCCCCATTTTTCTTCTTTTGCAGCTGCATGATAACAATCTTATTTGCCTTTGGTTCGTCACTTTCCGAGTCTTGAAGAAAAGTGTTTTTGATTTTTCTTTTTCCATACTTTTTTACAGGTTTCTTCTTGACAGTTAAATCGTCAGAATCTGAGTCGACTTCATCAATTAGGGACTCTTGACTAAGCTGCACAAACAACAAATAATTTGTAATCATTCTATATAACAATTTGAAGTCATGACTTGTAGTCAGCACTTACCAGTGGTTTGTAAGCGTGCGCTTCAGTGTGCTCCTCCATGATTTCTTGCAGCCTAATGAACCACACACTTGCACCTTTTTCTAGCCTGACACCTGATTTCCTCTGTTGTGCTGCTCCATGATTGGCTCCAGCCTGCTGGACTGAAATTGCCCCAGTGTGCCCCTCCTTGATATCCCGCAACCCACCACCAGGGTTCCGACACATAACACACTTTTTTCAGGAAAGTAAACCTCCAGGGGTCCTTTCCATATTTTTACAGAGACTGCATAAGGACCGTTAGAAAAGCATTACCCATTGATTATTAAGCTTGGACCAGTGGGGTCCGGTGTTCGGGCCCCACCACGTAAAACCAGTCCCCATGACGTGAGTGGAATCTCAGGTTATGGAACCCACCAGGAGTTGAAAACAAGTGCACACACACACACACACACACACACACACACACACACACACACACACACACACACACACACACACACACACACACACACACACACACACACACACACACACACACACACACACACACACACACCAGTAAAACCATGATGAGAGACTTGGCACTAAAAACAATACAATAAGTAAAACACTAAAATGCGAGACTAAAAGGAACACACAATACATGAATAATAGCAATAGCATATGTATTGAATGTCTTCAGTACAAAGATGTTAATGCAATATTATGCAATATTATACACTAAATGTGTAGATCTTGTCTAAAACAACACACACATAAACCAACACACTCAGTTGGTAAAGCATTGGCGTTTTAGCCTGAAGGTTGTGGGTTCGACCCTCACATGAGACCCGCCAACTCCCACTTATGTGTGCTGTCGAAGTGTCCTTGGGCACTCAACCCCACTTTGCCTGAAGCACCCGCTAAAAGATCCCTTGATCTTTCAGCCTTTAAGATGGCTGCTCTATTGCATAGCCTTCTATGCCACAGAGCAACCCTCCTCCTGTGGACCTGCAGGAGGATCCATGAGGGGCTGGTGCTCGATCATCATTTTTGGCCTCTGTTACATCTTGAGATGTAATTGAGAGTTATTGTTTGTGTTTGGTGCACACTGGGGAACTTTCACACATGTGTTTCACATGTGTGAAAGTTCCCTTAGGAAATATGTGACCCTGTGCTCTGAAAAAATGACCCGTGCCACTCGATCTACAGCACGAGGAGAGTGCAGCGTCCCAACATGTAGGACCTCTTTCAGAAAGTCAGCCTTCTCCGTCACTGCAGCGACTCAGTGGAACTCACTCCCAACTCACATCATCACTTGCACTGATCTAAAACTATTCACACGCCTGACAAGAGCATGGCTCCTGGAGAGGCAGATCTGTTCCCATGTGTGATGAGTGTCTGCGTAGGTGTGTATGTGGGTGTGTGTATGTGTGTGTGTGTGTGTGTGTGCATGAGAGAGAGAGATAGAGTGCAGGTTGAGTGTAGGTTCGTATGAAAACAAAGAATGGGGGCTGGGTGGTTTTATTATATTCTACTATCTAATTTGTGATTAATTAAATTGTAAGGTATGTCTGATAATGTATGGTAATGTATCCATCTACTTTTTATTTTACTGTCTCACAACAACCTGCTCAGGGACTACAGGTGTAAATTAGCACTGCTGCTACAACCTGGTACAAAGCATCTCTCCTTTTGGCTAATGTTTACTGTACACTGTCCCTGTAAAAATAAAAACCATACCATACCATACCATACCAATAGACTTTTGCTGCAATTGGCAAATATAATAAATCCGAATCTGATTTTAGGCCAAAAAATAAAAAAAGAGAATCATGCTGGTTCAGCCAATCAGCTCTCAGCCCAAAGCAAAGTGACTCACAAGGCTCAATATGGTGAGACTGTGTGTTGTGGTCCTGCTTTCATCTTTACCAGACATGCAGCATGTATTATTTTTGGCCTTTTTTGCTTTAAGTTAAAACCAAACCTGACAACAGGGGTTTGTGTGACTCAAATAAAAGACACTCCTGCCTAGTGGTAGAAGTGAGAAATGGCATCCTGCTTGATTTAATTAAAATGTAAGGAATATGATCCTGTTACAGCACCACATGGTTCCTGTGCCTTTAACCTCCTTACAAAGACAGAAAGTATTA